GTATAACTATTCTCCAGTTTCTTCATGTGGGTACTTTGTGCTATGATCTTCCCCCATAGCACTGCTTTCAAAGTGTCCCATAGGTAGTGGTATGTTGTGTCTTCATTCTCATTGAATTCTAGGAAGGCTTTAATTTCTTTTTTATTTCTTCTTTGACCCAGGAATGGTGCAGTTGTGCATTATTCAATTTCCATGAGTTTGTAGGTTTTCTGCAATTTGTGTTGTTGTTGAATCCTAATTTGAAAGCATGGTGGTCTGATAAGATGCATGGAGTTATTCCAATTTTTTTGCTGCTGCTGAGGTTGGATAAGTTGCCAAGTATGTGGTCGACTTTTAAGAAGGTTCCATGTGGTGGTGAGAAGAAGGTATATTCTTTTTTATGTGGATGAAGTGCTCTATAGACGTCTGTTAATCCCAGTTGTGTCATTACTTCTATTAGACTCTTTGCTTCTTTGAGTTTCTGTCTGGTATTCCTGTCTAGTGGTGAGAGTGGTGTGTTGAAATCTCCCACTATAAGTGTGTTGGGCTTTATATGTGATTTAAGTTTTAGTAATGTTTCTTTTATGAATATGGATGCCTTTGTATTTGGGACATAGGTGTTCAGGATAGACACTTCATCTTGGTGGATTTCGCCTGTGATGAGTATGTAATGACCTCCTTCATCTCTTTTGATTGATTTTATTTTAAAGTCTAATTTGTTAGATATTAGGATTGCTACCCCTGCTTGTTTCTTGGGTCCATTTGATTGGAAAAATTTTCCCAACCTTTAACTCTCAGGTAATGCCTGTCTTTGAGGGTGAGGTGTGTTTTTTTTATGAAGCAGAAGGAAGGGTTCTGTCTTCGAATCCATTCTGCTAGCCTGTGTCTTTTTATGGGTGAGTTAAGGCCATTAATGTTGAGGGATATTAACGCCCATTGATTGGTCATTCTTCTTCGATTTGCAATGGGTGTTGGTGGTGGAATTACGTGTGGAATTTCACCCCTTTGTTCTTTTGGCTGTTGGTAGAGAGGGATTCTCTAATGCCTATGTGTTCCTGGTTGTAGTTAACTTCCTTGGGCTGGAGTTTTCCTTCCAAAACTTTCTGTAGGGCTGAGTTAGTTGATACGTATTGCTTGAATCTAGTTTTGTCATGGAATATTTTGTTTTCTCCATCTATAGTGATTGAGAGCTTTGCCGGGTATAGTAGTCTGGGCTGGCATCCATGGTCTCTTAGTGTTGGTAGAATATCTATCCAGGACCTTCTGGCTTTCAGAGTTTCCATGGAGAAGTCTGTTGTAAGTCTGATAGGTCTGCCTTTATATGTTAGTCTGTATGTTTGGGGTCTTGATTATTATGTGGCGAGGGGACTTTTTTTGTGGTCCACTCTATTTGGTGTTCTGTTAGCTTCTTGTACCTTCATTGGCATGTCTTTCTTAAGGTTGGGAAAGTTTTCTTCTATGATGTTGTTGAATATGTTTTCTGCCCCTTTGAGGTGGTTTTCTTCTCCTTCTTCTATACCTATTATTCTTAGGTTTGGTCTTTTCGTGGTGTCCCATATTTCCTTGGTGTTTTGTGTTAAGGATTTGCTGGACGTAAGGTTTTCTTTGGTTGATGAATCCATTTCTCCTAGTGTATCTTCAAGACTTGAAATTCTCTCTTCCATCTCTTCTATTCTGTTGGCAATGCTTGTATCAGTAGTACCTGGCTGTTTGCCCAGCTTTTCTATTTCCTGCCTTTCTTCAGATTGTGTTTTTTTAATGTCTCTATTTCAGTTTTCAACCCTTGCAGTGTTTGCATTGCTTCTTGCAATTTTTGGTTTATCTTTTTGCCCATTTGTTGTCTTTTATGAATTTTTTGGTTTGTTCTTTCTTCCATTTCTTGCATTTTTGGTTTGCTTTTTCTTCCATTTCTTTGAGGGATTTTCCTATATCCTCTTTTAGCCTGTATCATTTTCATGAAAGTGATTTCAAGGTCATTCTCTTCTGCTTCTTTTGCATTGGAATATTGGAGTCTTGCTGGTGTGGAGTCTCTAGAATCTGGTGGTGTCATATTTGTTTTTCTGTTGCTGAGTGTGTTTTTGTATTGTCTCTCTCCCATCTCTTCTTCTAGTGGGTGCAGAAAGAGCCCCTTACTGGTCTTGTGGTTAGGGAACCAGAGTTCCCTTTGTTTGGTGCTAGCAAGTCCAATAATTTGGTGGTTCTTCTATTCCTTGTCCTTGTTCTGGTCCCGTGGGTGGCAAAGAACAGGAATCTGGGACACTTAGCCTCCCACCTGGTCCCCTGGACCCTTTGCTGGATCCTGTTGTACCTGATCCTGCGGCCGGAACAGCTGCTCCCCTGGTCTCCCTGGCTCCTCTCGTTTCCTGGTCTCGTTGGTGGGAGAGAATTCCTGGATTCTGGGGTGTTTGGCTCCCACCAGGATTTGAAGCTCTGTGCAGTTCCCAGGCGATCCCCAGGCACTCTGATTTATGATTCTTGTTTGTGCTTGATTTATTGGTAGTGAAGTCATTTTGTGTAGTTTCTCCTCCCTTTTTCTTTTGGTGCTTTGTAAAGTGCGATTATATATTGCCTGTGTCTTTGTGAGCATAGTTATCTTCCTTGGATCTAGGTTTTCCTTCTAGCATTTTCTGTAGAGCTGGATTCATGGATACATATTGTTTAAATCTGGCTTTGTCATGGAATATTGTGTTTTCTCCATCTATGGTAATTGAAAGCTTTGCTGGATATAGTAGTCTGGGCTGGCATCCTTGTTCCCTTAGTGCTTGTATGACATCTATCCAGGATCTTCTGGCCTTCATTGCTTCTATTGAGAAGTCAGGTATATTTTGGAGAGGTCTGCCTTCATATGTTACTTGGCTTTTTTCTTTAGCTGCTCTTAATATTTTCTCTTTATTCTGTAGGTTTGATGTTTTGATTATTATATGGTGAGGTGACTTCTTTTTCTGGTCCAGGCTATTTGGTGTTCTGTAGGATTCTTGTATTTTCATAGGCATATCCTTCTTTAGGTTAGGGAAGTTTTCTTCTATGATTTTGTTGAATATGTTTTCTGTACGTTTGAGCTGTATTTGTTTGCCTTCTTCTATACCTATTATTCTCAGGTTTGGCTTCTTCACAGTGTCCCATATTTCTTGGATATTTTGTGTTAGGGATTTGTTGGTTTTGAGATTTTCTTTGGTTGACAACTCTATATCCTCTAGTGAGTCTTCAGCATCTGAGATTCTCTCTTCTATCTCTTTTATTCTATTGATGATACTTGCATCTGTAGTTCCTGATCATTTATCCAGCTTTTCTATTTCACACATCCCCTCATTCTCTTCTTTCTTTATCGTTTCTGTTTCAGCTTTCAATCCTTCAACTGTTTGATTTGTTTCTTTCATTTGTTTGGTTATTTTTTCTTGGTGCTCTTTAGATTCTTTGAGAGATTTATTTCTTGAAAATTTCCCCCATTTCATGGATGTTTTTGTTTGTTTTTCTTCTAGATTTCCTCGTTTCTTCGTTGAGGGACTCTATCATCTTCATAAAATAATTTTAAGGTCTTTCTCCTCTGCTTCGTCTATGTAGTGCTTTTCAGGTCTTGCTGGTGTTTGTACCCTAGATTCTGGTGGAGTCATGTTGGTCTTTCTATTGCTGTGTGAACTCTTATTCTGTCTTCTTCCCATCTCTTCTCGCAGTGGGTGCTGGTGGGGTCTTTCCATATCCACTGATCTCCTTCCTTCCTGAAGCTGAAGCTGGGGATGCTTACAGTGAAGCTTAAGCTGGAGCTGGGATCACTGGAGTTTTGGGCCTGGAAGGGCTGATGTCTTTCCTGTGTGGGCAGGCCTTCTGGTTGCCAGGAATGGCCCACAGAAGCTCCAGGGAATGGGTGTTGGGCAGGAGATGGGGAGTGTCCCTCTGGAGACCGAAGCTCACCTGAAGCTGGGCTTGCCAGAGTTTGGAACCTGGAAGGGCTGATGTCTTTCCTGTGTGGGCGAGTCTTCTGGGTGCCACGAGAGGCCCCAGAAGATCGAGGGGATGGGTGTTAGGCAGAGGATGGGGAATGTCCCCCTCCCCGAGACCCAAGCTCACCTGCAGCTGGTCTCACCAGAGTTTGGGGCCTGTCTTTTCATATAAAGTTGAGCATTGTTCTGTCAAGGTCTGTGATGAATTTTGCTGGGATTTTGCTTGAGATTGTATTGAAAATGTAGATTGCTTTTGCTAAGATCCGTAAGTGGAGTTCTTTATTGGTCAAAATAATAAAAATCAGGATTCAAACATAGAGAAAATGCTGATAGATGAGAGGATAGGAACAAGCCAAACCACCTTTACCTCACTAGTTTCCCCAGTGGATAAAAGCAATTTCCTACTTTTTTCCACTTATATCCTATCTCCACACATACACCCTACTTCCTGTCTTTGCCCATCCATCTCACTTCCTATCTATTCCCAGCCTTCTCACTTCCTTTTTGTGCCCAGCCATCTCCTTTCCTGTCTTTCTGAACAAACCTCCTGACCTCTATGGTTATAGAGTGACAAGTTCCATCCTCTGATCTTCAGAGAAGCTTTATGTGTATAAACAAGATATCAACACATTTTCCAGGCATCATTTCTTTGAAAAATCTAACACAACTCCAGGTTATCACAATTCCATAGTACCAGTGGACTAAAGGTAAAGAAAGCTGAAGGTAAAGTCAGGTGTTGACTGGAACCACAAGATTAATGTACATAACCAACAAAATATCATCCAGTCAGGTGTCATTGTCTAGAGGAAATAATCCAAGAAGTCATTCCCCATCAACAATCTACCCTGAATGTGAGCAGGAGGTCTGATAGCAGTGGACTGGGGCCATATTGTCACCTAAGCAGAGAGTGCCATACATAGGAAATGACAAGTGCAAGGTCACTGAGGACATGGAAATAAATAGCAGAAAGAATCCACTCACATATCTAAAGTAAGCTATGGACATACCTGCTCAGGAAACAGGGCCTCAACTGAGCCAAATATGAAGGTCTGACTATTGACCAATGTCTATCTTTCCTCCTAGCCTCCTATTGTGGGTGCCCTTGCTCCTCTGCTCAGATCACTATTGAGTCAATTCCATCAAGCATTGTAGAAGGTACAAATGTTCTTCTAGTGGCTCATAATATCCCGGAGAATCTTCGATCCTTTTTCTGGTACAAAGGAGGAATTGTGTTCAAGAGCTCTGAGATTGTCTGGCACATAAAAGCCACAAATTCAACTGTGTTGGGCCCTGCACACAGTGGTAGAGAGATAGTGTACAGTAATGGATCCCTGCTGCTCCAGAATTTCACCTGGGCTGACACTGGATTCTACACGCTACGAACTCTGAGTAGAGACATGAAAACTGAATTAGCACATGTGCAACTCCAGGTGGACAGTAAGTGATTTTGTGATTATTCAGTTCTGGGTGGCTCTTTTGTCTGACCTGTGCATAACTTCATTCTGTACTATGTCTCATGTTGGTATTTGAGCATTTAGTGCAGGACACACGTACTAGAGACAAATGACCATAGATTATACTCTTGCTCTGACTCAACCCTCAGAGTTGTGTGTGTGTGTGTGTGTGTGTGTGTGTGTGTGTGTGAAAGGATAAGTCAGTGCAAATGCATTAGATTCTGTTTTGTCTTTGGTGTTCTCACTATGAACATGGTACTGAGAAGGACCCTTTTGGCATTGGGATCCTCGGAGAGAGGTGAGGGCCAGGAACCCTGGCTCCATCCCTCTCTCCCAGTCTTGATTACAAGTGACCTTGGGGAGTATTTTCCAGGTTTGAACTCTTACTTCCTTATGGAGCTGAGAGGGAACAACAGTTTTTGGATTTCCATATTTCACAGCATGTGAACCCAACTAGTGCACTGATCTGAGAGCCACAAACAAGCTATGTTACCAGGACACCTCCTTCTGAGACTCAGCATGGAGGACAGAATTAGACAGGTGCCGAGCCATCTGCCAACTCTTTTGATGGACTTATGAAAATTCACAAGACGATCATATTCTCCAAGGTGAAGAACAGAGGACACAGGTCCACTAGGCATGTGCTTCTCCCCTGGGGTCCCCCCCCCGGATTTCCCTCATGTAGCCAAATGGTAACAGGCTCTGATTGTCTTTACACCACCCAGACATGAGCTACAGTCATCCTGTTGACCACCAGGGGGTGATATTTGCTCACAGTCAAACCCTGAGTTGTTGGTTCTGTGGAGAAGAAAGAAATATACGTGATTTCCATTTCTGTTCCAATACATCTGGATGTCCCTCCTACAGACCAATCTGACATGTTGGTGCTTCCTTTGTCTGAGAAAAGTAGTATTCTAGGAATCACGTTCAGGATCCTTCTTTCTAGCACAGGGAAAGAGGGGAACCACAGGGGAATTACCAAGCAAAGGACAGAGATGTCTCTAAAATGTCAAGGTGGACATGAGCAAACCTGAACCATACCTCAGACAACAAAAGAGTCTGGAATTCAGGTTTCCCTTTGAAACTCTCAACAGCAGTGTGAGATCACCCCTTTCAAGGTCACAGGTGACCTTCTCAACAGACAGGACATGGATCTCCTGATACAACTGTTCCTGGATGTCTATCCTGGATATGATCTTGAATAGTCACTCTAGTGATAAGCAATGAGTGTCCTTCCCCTGCCATCACTCATGTGGCACCTTTCTAGGTAACACAGACACATGCCGCCTTCTGTACGAGAACAAATTCCACCTTACCAGGGCATGGTGGACACAAGGAAAACTGGGTTCAAAGCAGAGTCTCTGTGTCACAGAAAATGCATAGGGGTGAGAAATCCCCCCTCTTTTGTGCTACACACCAAGGCCAGGACAAAGCAGTGGTCAGCCCTGGTGTGAGCTGTTGGGCTTTGGGACACAGGGATAATTATTGGCTCATTGCTCACTGTGTGGTCAGGAGGCCTGAACATAAAGAGATTTGTGAAAAGAATTACAAATCAGTGCCAAGGAGAGGAGGGAGAACTGCCTTGGACAAGGATCCACCCACAGTCCATGTGACTCTTTGATGTGATTCTGCCTTGCAGCAGGCTTAGCTCAGAAGTCGCTGATTCAGGTTCATCAGAGTGACTTTAGGACACTAAAGCTGACTCAGACACATTGGAGTGACTTCAGGACAGCAGTGCTTACTGTGGGAGAGAAGAGCTGACTCTGGAACAGCAGAATTAACTCTGGAACCAAAGAGTGTGGTAGCTATGCTGGGTCCTTTGGAGACCCCACCATGTTCCAAGGGATCAAGATACCCTTGGAACTTGCCAAGGGTCACCATGGGCAGCAGCTAGTCTCATAAGTGAAGAGAATTTCCTAGCCGTGTGTGTGTGTGGCTAGGGGAGGAGTTCAGGCGCTGGTTAGAATGTCTGAGGAGAACAAGAGTCTGAAGGAGAATAAAGGTGTCTGCTTGCCCACTTAGTGGGGGTGATAACAAAGGGGGATAGAGGTCCAGCAGCAGGAAGCTCTCAGTGAACAGGAAATGGCAAATGGTTGAATTGAAAGCCAGATTGTTTTCTGTTTAATGGCAATCAGGTTGGTTGCTATATTCTGAAGGCGGAGTTTTCCAGCTAGAACAGATGACAAAGAAAAGAATCTGACCTGTGTGGATCAGTGAGGTGTTTCATTGAGTGAAGGCAAAATTTGTCAGGCCCATTGACTTGAATTTAGTGCCCAGATCCCACATGGCCAAAGAAGAGAATCCTCTCACTCCTAAATGTTGTCCTCTGCCACACACATACTGTGGCACACACCCATCAACATACCCATCTATTTAGGAATGCACATGTATTCACACCTGCATGAATTTATGAACAATTGAAATTGAAATATATGTAAAGAATTAAATTAAACCCTGGACATACTAGACCTTCTCTAGGTAGCATTCCTTCCAAAAATGAGATTAACCATGGTCTTCACAAAAGTGTACTCCAAGTGAACTTGAAGATAGTTCACTAAAAACCTCAAAGGTGAAGTTACGGGTTGGCTTGAATCACAAGAGGAAAGAACCTAAAGCACAGGAAAGTCAGAGTGTCAGGTGTGAGGGTTTTTAGGGAAACAAGCAAGGAAGTCATCCCCCAATGCCAATCTACACTGAATGTGAGCAGGATCCTGAGGGAAGTGAACCGGAGCTATGTTAACAACTGATCAGAGTGTCATACATAGAAGCTGACATGTGCATGGACTCTGAATGCATAGAGCACATGTCCTGAGTCACCTAGTAGGACTAGGAGACACACATCTTGGCTGAGCAATGGCCACACCTGCTCAGGACACAGGGTCCCAACATAAATAAATACCAAATTCCTACTACTAATGGATCTTTCTTCTCTTCTAGCCTCTCATTGTCATCACTATCCCACCTCTGCTCAGCCTACTATTGAATCAGTTCCACCCAGTGCTGCTGAAGGGGGAAGTGCTCTTTTAGTGGTTCACAGTCTCCCAAAGAATATTTTAGCCATTTACTGGTACAAAGGAACAATTGTGATCAAGGACCATGAGATTGCCAAATACAGTGTAAACACAAATTCAAGGCCCACAAACACTGTGGGCCTTGCACACAGTGGTAGAGAGACACTGTACAGCAATGGATCCCTGCTGATCCAGAATTTGACCAGGAGTGACACTGGATCCTACACCCTAAAAACTCTGACCAGAGATGGGAAAGTTGGATTAACGCAAGGACAACTTCTGGTAGACAGTAAGTGATTCTCTGTGATCATTCAATCTTCTTTAATATTTATACACATATCACTGTCTTTTCTGGCCTCCACTTAGTGTCCCAATGTTGGTGTTTTGGTATTTAGTTGTGGTCACACATGATGGAGACACATGTTGATATCATACTACATCATCTGACTCCCCCTCTGTCAGGAAAGTCCTTGATGTAAAGAAACTCAGTCTAAGAGTTGCTCAGGTAGGGGCTGATTGAGGCAGTTTTGAAATTTTAACAGAGAGGCAGTCTCCAGGAAGCCTTATTCATACTAACTGTCCTAGGCTCAACTGCTACTGACAATATGGGATATTTTGGAAGGGCTAGATTATGCCTCTTAGTGCTGAATGGGAGCAACATTTTTTGGTTGTCCATGTCAAACTGGGGAATTTATTTTCTCCAAACATGAATTTCATAAAAAAATCTAAGAACTGTTGCAGAGACAGAGGAGGAGTGATGCCTATTAGTCTGCTCTTTATTGCTTGCTCGGCCCTCTCTTTTATATCACCCTTAGGACAGGAGCAGAACTACTTTCAGTGGACTGGACCCTCCCACATCAATCACTGATTTAAAACATTGTACTATAAATTTGCCCACAGATTAACATGGTGCTGGCATTTTCAATTGAGTCCCCCTCTTCCAAATCAACTGTAGCTTGTGTTACATTTACATAAAACCAGCCATGCTCATATAAATCTTTTCTAACACCCAAGCTTGCCGAGCATATCAGACTTTTTCTATACCTTACACAGACCTAGACTTGTTGAATTCAGGGCAATGTAGCAAAGGCATGTAGAAATTGAAGTCAAGGATTGACTGGAGCCACAAAGGAATCTGAGAAAAAAAAAGCTATAGAATGAAGATGTGGGGTCTGTGGAGAAAAAGTTCAGAGAAGGCATAATATCAACCTCAGTGTGCAGTGCTTGACTGAGGGCAGTGAAGGGCAGCCGTATAGACACCCCAGGAGAGAATTCCATGTAGAAGAAATGACAAATTCAGGGACACTGTGGAAATGAGGGTCATGTTGTTAATATTCACCAAGTGGGTTGCAAACACCCACACCTTAATCTTTAGACTGAGTGATGAACTTATCTGTTTAGAATATAGGTTGCTTTCTTTCCACCAAGCACAACAATCCTTGAGATAACTGTTTTTCTTTTGTGTTTCAGCCTCCCTTTCTGTGTGCTGCAACCCTCTCACTTCTGTCCAACTCATGATAGAGCCAGTGCCACAGAATGCTGTTAAAGGGGAAAGCGTTCTTCTCCTTGTTCATAATCTACCCAAAAATATGCTATCTTTTGCCTGGTTCAAATCAGCATATAGCATCCCAAATTATAAAATTGTGGCATACAGAAGAGATGTGAATTACATCTACAAGGGGCCTCTCTACAGCAGAAGAGCAATGGTGTACCCCAATGGATCCCTTTTGCTCCAGGATGTCATGGAGAGTGATGCAGGAATCTATACACTACAAATTTTCAAAAGTGATTTACATTTTGAAATAGCATATATACTACTCCATGTGTACAGTAAGTGATTCTCTATCATCTCCAGCTGCTGGGTGTAGCTTATCCTAATTCATACACTTAGCCCCCAGGACTGGGCTGTGCCTGGTTCCTTCTCCCCATTGTGTCCCCACATGGGGTTTGGACCTGCACTGCAGGAGTAGACAAATTGTAATGTATCAGAAACACTCACCACTATTTATTTGTAGAGTTGTGGACCTGTGCTTGGTAAACTTAGTCCCAGGATGTCAGCTGTAGCCAAGACACTTGGATCCTTCATGTAGATTTCCCCAGAAAGACAGTGTGGGAATCAGGCAGGGCCTGGTGATGAAGTCATGGAATCCTCACAGAGAATGTCAGGAAGCCCTGGCTACAAATTTGTGTCTCTGACTAGACATCAGATGACACTGGGGAACTTTTAGTTACTGTTTGGTTTTGAATTCCTGTTAGAGAGGGCAGAGAACAAGACTTTATTGGTATGTGGAACCAGCTAGTGCACTGTCATGAGAGCTACAGTCAGCTTAGGTCACCAGGATGCCTTACTTAAGGATAGCACATGGAGAGTGTATCTGGTCAGTTTCCCATATAGCTAAGTAACTGTCCTGATGGAATTATGAGTCCTCACAGGAAGGTTAGGATCCCCAAGTGAAGTAATAATGGACAGAAATCCTTTTGCAAGTGATTGTCCTCTAGGGTCCAGCTTTGGAATTCTCTCCTTCAGGTAACTAGTAGCAGAGGTACTGATATGGAAATCTCCCAGACATGAGGGACAGTTCCTCTAGTAACCATTAGGTGGCTATAGAAGGACACGAAATAAATACCTAGACGTGTATTTCTAGGACCCATGAGCTTAATTGTAGCCTACCTTCCATCCATGTCCCTATAGATCTGGAGGTCACTTACAGCATTCTTAGACATCCTGATTGCTTCCTGTGTTTCTAATCACACTTCTCTACCAGAGGACCCTATGTTAACACCCATTATCACCCTATAAATCCCATTAAGACTTCACCTAGACAGATGTCTGTTGCATACCAGGATGGGTACGTAGAGACCCAAGACATGGCTCTACCATCATGGGAAGATGGAGGGTTCCTCTGAAACTCTTCTTAGTTTGATGGAGTCACCACCCTTTCTCCAGGACTCAGGTCACCTCCTGCTTCGTATCCTCAGGAATCTATTCCTTGATTTTGTTGGCCCTGTCTGGTGATTCTATTGAGAGTGGGTCTGGTCCCTTTCCCAGGCATTACTCAGATGGCCCCTTTCAAGCTTTAATAGACATCTGTGTCACCTTTCAGTTGGGATTAAATCCCTCCTTCTCAGAGCATTGAGAATACAAGGCAGAGTAGGTGCTCTGCTAGGATTCTGTATCATAAAGTTTGGGAGAACATAGCAGAGGGCAGCCCTGGGGGGGGCTGTTGTTGTCCTAGGTCACAGAGTTGATCATCAGCCTTGTTCCTCACTGCATGGTGTGCAGGACTTAAAAATATATAGAGAACCTGACTGGGACACCAGGCAGGACTAAGAATTGTAAGGACAGAGAATGGCCTTGGACACCATTCTTGACAACATTCACATTAACCTCAGAATTGCCCCTGCCTGTAAAGAGGCAGAGCTCAGAGAATGGAGGTCTGTAAATATTGGGGAAATGCTTGAGGAAAAGCTGTTCTACACAGAGTGAGGGCAGAACAGATGGCACACCCTGTGAAGGCCCACTGTGAACTGTTCTGCAAACTGGTAGTGGCTCCTGCTCACAGTAGAAGAGAACACTGTCTGATCATGTAAGGGGAAGGTGAGTTCACAGACTGGCAGGAATCTCCTAAAGTGGAAGGATAGGAAAGTCTTCAATCTAAGTCCTGTCACCTGCATTTACACACACACACACACACACACACACACACACACACAGGATGGCATACATATGCTTATGCACAAACACACACTCATACCCACCCACAGGCACACACTCACTCCACACACACACAATTTAATGAAGCCTGGAGTTGTATTTGTGTCAGTAGTTCCACACATGAAAATTTCATAAATAGCTGGACATGAAAATACAATGACATTCCTTCTTCAATCCACCCTCCAGTATCTGAGCCTGCCTAGGTATCCAGTATTCCAGGAAGATCAAACCAGTTTTTCTAATAAGACTCCAGCTCTAGTGGACTGGAATACAGACTAGAATTCCATATCAATGTGAAGTCGGGGGGTTAACTTTTTCCAGAGAGATCAAAGAGGTCAGATTGGGAAGACTGGGGTCTGCAGTGGAAAATCTGAGGGAAGGCACCCCACCTCCTCATTTTCTGAGTGTGGGCGGGCATGTGAGAACAGTGAGTGTGTAAACACATGAGGAGACAAGAAGTGACACAGGCAGGTTCAGAGGTTATAGATGTCGTTTGCTACTTTCTCCCTCTGAGTGTGACAGACACTCACACCCACCTCAGTTGAATGATGGAATAAGCTTCTCAGTAATCAGACCCCAGATTTTCACCAAAACCGAAGTCTCAGTATTGATGGATTTGTCTCTCTTTCCTTCTACCCTCCCTTTTAGCCTGCAGGATTCCTCCTTCCCAGCTCTTTATTGATTTAATGACACCCAATGTTCTTGAAGGGACAAATGCTCTCCTACTTGTTCATAATATCCCAGAGAACCTTCAAGCCTTTTCCTGGTACAAAGAGGTAAACATCCTCACCAGACATTTAATTGCATGGAAGGAAATAACTGATAATGAAAGTTGGCTGGGGCCCGCATACAGCCGTAGAGTGACTGTGTACCCCAACGGATCCTTGGTGCTCTACAACACCACCCAAAATGACACTGGACTCTACACCCTACAAACCTTAAATACGCAGTTTAAAACTCAAGAAACACATGTGTACCTCCACATATACAGTAAGTGATTCTTTGTGACCTCTGGACTCTGGCGGGTTTGATTTCCCTTATCACACACAGGATTGAGTGTTGTAGATTGATTGTTTCCTATTTATATTCTGTCTCCAGGTTGGGGTTTGAGCACTTAGAGCAGGACACCCATTGGTTAGACATACTAAAATAGACCAGAATCCCTCACCTCACTCCACCTACAGAGGAGGATGTGTGCTGAGTAACTCAGCCCAAGTATATTAGCCAGCCTCAGAATATTGGGGTCTTCACCATGAACATGTCCTTGAGGAAGACCTCGTGGGAGTCAGGCATGGTCTATAGGGGAAACTATGTTTTCATCATGGTGAGGTGAACATCAGGAATCCCTGGATTAAGAACTTTGTTCCAGACTCAACTCCAGGTGACCATGGAGAGCTTGTCTTCAGGGCTAGATTTTGACTTCCTGTCAAGCTGACATGGAACAAGCCTTCAACCAACTGTTCAATATACACAGAGTGTTGAACTAACTGTGTACTGTCATGACAGCTTCAGTTAACTAGGTCACCTGGGCATGTTTTACACGTGAATTTCAGTGGACAGTTGCCACAAGTAAGCCAACTCTTCTTATGGGCTTAGGAGACTTCAGAGAAAGTCCAGGCTGTCTAAGGGGATGGACAGAGGTGACAGGTCTCCAAGCAGGTCCTTGTCCTGAGGGGTTCAGCATAGGGAATTCTCTTCTGGAGGTAAATAGTAAAAGATGCTACTGATTTGTGTAGCTACCCATCCAAGGATCAGGCCATTGCTCATATCTAAGCTCAATTGGGGCCCTAACAATGATCATGCACTGTGTGCACTGGTGAAGGGAAAGAGAGACCTGGAAGCACAGAGGCTAAACTAGGGCTACAAAGGTCATGGGAGATTGATGCAAATAACAAGAAATCTGTCTAATGTCACAGACCCAAAGTCTCCACCCTGGAGGGTTTAGTAAGTGTCCATTGACTACAGAGGAGGTAGTCGAGATCTCTGAAGGGTTATTGTCATTTACACTCCCTCTTTTCTTCACAGAGCCTGTGACACAGCCATTTATCCAAGTCACCAGCACCACAGTTACAGCACAAAACTCGGTGGTCCTCAGCAGCTCTGTGGATTTCACTTGCCTGGCAGATGATACTGGAGTCTCCATCCGGTGGATCTTCAATAACCAAAGTCTGCAATTCACAGATAGGATGACACTGTCCCCGACAAAGTGCGCACTCTTCATAAATCCTGTCAGGAGGGAGGATACTGGAGATTATCAGTGTGAGGTGTTTAATCCAGTCAGTTCAAAGACCAGTCTCCCATTCAGTCTGGTTGTGAGGAATGACTGACCATTCTCTGCTCATCCACTAGTAGATTTGGGGCATTTCTTTATTGATCTGGTACAGAAAGGAAAAATGTTACATGGTGAAAATGATTGGTCACCACTCAGGTACAGCTAGCATTGTGACTCATGACTGTAATCCTGGGATAAAGGTGTGCACCAGGTTAGAACAGGACATAAATAGAGACTTGGCTTCCAAAAGCAAAAAGAAGAAATCAATATAGTAAACAGAATTGCAGTAGTTAAGAACTTAGGTTGTGGATCAAATATACAGATTATTCTCAGAACCCATGGAAATTTTTCATGAGCCCCTAATGTTCTGGATGCTCTGAGTCCCCTGTTAACATGGGGCAGGGTTTGGATGGAGATAAATGCATCCTCTCATATTCTCATATATATTCCATTTATAACTGATTCATTTAACCCCAATGCCACCTATGCACCAGTAATCATTGTGAAGTGAGGAAGAGTGACAGGAAAAGGGACTACACTCATTCTTTGTGCACATAACTGTTTACTAAATAATTCAGATCAACAGTTTGAGGCACACATGTGAAAAACCATGGCTAAAGACTTACTGCCCCACCCTCCCTGGGGAATGATGTGGGGATTGTGTGTGGGGCTTGGGTGACTGAGGGAGGGACAAGGGAGGAGAGGTGGAAGAGGGAGCTGGAATTGACATGTGGAGCATGTCTAATTTAAATAAAAACATATTGTGGAGAAAATGACTGACCTGGACTGTTTCTATCCTGAGTGTGGCACGCACATGATATCACACAAGATTCCTTTACTTATTAACATTTTTGGAGACATACATGGAATTTCCCATTTGGCCATTCTGAAGAGGATAAATAATTGGCAGGAACACATTCATGTTTTTCCCTCAATACATGTTTTTATTTAAATTAGAAAATGGATGTTTCACATGCCAATCCCAGCTCCCTCTCTCCACCCTCCTCCCTTGTCCCTCCACCAGCCCCAATCCAGCTCCCCATCAAATCCCCACACAATTTCCTAGGGAGGGTGAGGCCCTCCTTGGGGGCATCTCCAGAGTCTGCCATTTCATCCAGAGCAGGACCTAAGTCTTTCCCCATGTGTCTAGACTGAAAGAGCATTCCTCTGTTTGGAATGGTCTCCCAAAGTTCATTCATATGCCATGGGAAACACTAATCTACACCCAAGGCCACAGATACTTCTGAAGCCTCCTCACTGACACTACATTCATGGAGTCTGGATCAGTCCCCTGTTGGCCTCTCAGCCATCAGTGTGGGGTTCAAGAGCTCCCCCTTGTCCAGTCAGCTGTCTTTGTGGGTATCACCAGCATGGTCTTGACCCCTTTGCTCATCACTCCTCCATCTCTGTCACTGCGTTCCAGGAGATCAGGTCAGTGTTTAGCTGTGGATATCTGTCTCTGCTTCCATCAGTCACTAGATGAAGGTTCTAGGATGGCATATAAGGTAGTCATTAACCTTACCATCAAGGAGGAGCATTTAATGTAGTCTCTCCACTACTGCTTAGTTTGCCAGTTGGTGTTATCCTTGTAGATCTCTGGAGATCTCACTAGTGTCATCTCTCTCCTTAAGCCTACAATGACTCCATCTATTATGGTATCTCTCATCCTGCTCTCCTCTGTTCTTACCTTAACTCATCCTTCCTGCTCCCCCATGCTTTTTTCTCCACTCCTCTTATCCCCTTCTCTTTTTCCTGGTTCCTACTCCCCTCCCCCAATATTCACAATCTGCTCAGGGGATGTTGGCTTATTCCTCTTCTCTGGGGTATCATGCATTTCTCTTGGGATCCTCCCTGTTGTCCAGACTCCATGGCAGTGGGATTGTAGGCTGATACTCTCCTGATCCATATCTAAAATCCATATATGAATGAGTATATACCATGTTTGTCTTTTTGTGACTGCATTACCTCACTCAAGGTGGTTTCTTCTAGTGCCATCCATTTGCCTGCAAATTACAAGATTCCATTGATTTTTCCGCTGAATAATACTGCATGTGTAAATGTACCACATTTTCTCTATCCACTTTCAGTTGAGGGGCATCTAGGTTTCTTCCAGGATCTATCTACTACATATAATGCTGCTATGAACATAGTGGAACAGATGTTCTTGTTGTATGAATGGGCATGTTTTGGGTATATGCCTAAGACTGGAATTGCTGGGTCTTGTGGTAGACTGAGTCCTATTTGCCTGAGGAATCTCCATACTGATTTCCAAAGTGACTGTACAATTTTGCACTCTCACCAGCAATGAATGAGTGTTCCCCTTTCTCCACATCCTCTCCAGCATAAACTGTCATTGGTGGTTTTTATTTTAGCCATTCTGACAGGAGTAAGATGATATCTCAGAGTTGTTTTGATTTGCATTTCCCTAATGGCTAAGGATGTTCAGCTCTTTCTTAAGTGTATCTCAGCCATTTTATACTCCTCTGTTGAGAATTCTCTATTTGGTTCAGTCCCCCAATTTTTTTATATATTTTTATTTTTAAATTTAAATTAGAAACAAGGTTGTTTCGCATGTCAATTTCAGGTCCCTCTCCCTTTCCCTCCCCTCCTCCCGTGCCCTCCCACCAACCCATCCAATATCCTCTCATTTCCCCAGGGAGGGTGAGTCCCTCCATGAGGGTGTCCATAGTCTGTCATTTCATCCAGGGCAGGGTCTAGACCCTCCCCCATGAGTCCAGGGTGAGAGTTCATCTCTCATTGTTGGATGGGTTCTCAAAGTCCGTTTTTATACCCGGGATAAATACTCATCTACTACCCAAGGCTCAATTGATTACCCCCAATTTTTAATTGGATCCTTTGGTGTTTTGGAGACTTACATCTTGAATTCTTTGTAAATTTTGGAGATCAATCCTCTGTTAGGTGTGGGGTTAGTGAATATCTTTTCCCAATCTGTGGGGTGCCTTTTTGTCTTGCTGACTGTGTCCTTTGCCTTACAGGAGCTTCTCAGTTTCAGGACGTCACATTTATTAATTGTCAATCTCAGTGATTGTGCTACTGGTGTTATGTTCAGGAAGCTGTCTCCTGTACTAATTCATTCAATGGTAACTCCCACTTTCTCTTCTAAGAATTTCAGTGTGGCTGGATTTATGTTGAAGTCTTTAATCCATTTAGCCTTAATATCTGCAGTCTTCTACATGCCAATATCCAGTTATACCAGCACCATTTGTTGAAGATGCTATCTTTTTTCCATTGTATAATTTTAGCTTCTTTGTCAAAAATCAGGTGTTCATAGGTTTGTGGATTAATCTCAGGGCTTTCAATTCAATTCCATTGGTCTACCTGCCTATTTTTGTGCCCAAATCAAGCTCTATAATAGAGCTTGTATTCAGGGATGTTGATTCCTTCAAATGTTGCTTTGTTGGCCAGGGTTGTCTTGGCTATCCTGGGTTCTTTGTTTTTCCCTATATAGTTAATAATTGTTCATTCAAAGTCTGTGAAGAATTATGCTGGGATTTTCATGGGGATTGCATTGAGTCTGTGTCCAGACCCTTTTCTCCGGTAAGAGAAATACTTAGAGTAACAATTATAGGTTAGCCAGCAAGAAACAAGCAAAAATCCAACAGCTTTATAATTAATATGTGCTTTATTTGGGGACTGGAACTGTGGCAGAGCCCAAGCGGCTGGCAGGGAAAAACCAAAGCAGCTGGCAGAGCAAAACTACATGTTGCATACTGGTGTCAGCATGTGGGATTGAATTTCCACATAGAACGACAAAAGCTTTAAAGGGATTTTATAAACAAAAGAATAGAGAGAAGCATGGCTTCTTAATAGCAGCATTTTTCTCAGGTGAGCTCTGTTTTGCTAGACAAGCAGAGACGCAGGTGGCTTGCTTAAGGGAGTCTTCCTGTCTCGGCATAAGCAGAAAAAAAAGAAAAAACAAGGTTTTTTAAGAGGCTTTGATAACAATTGAAAGGTGTGTACATACAGCTGGAAGTGTCAATGACCACATCTTCAAGCCGGCAGCTTTTGCTGGATGTCAGCATAGACTGAGGTGATGGGCTGGAGTCACACTTATGCCTGCCATCTTGGAAAAACTGCAGTTTGAACAGCCACGGTTTTAACAGATAAGACACATGGCCAGAACAACATAAAGATTTACAGTAAAGTCAGACGTGGATGAAGAAAAAACTCTAAAGGTTTACAGTGTGTTTAAAAACATATGTAGGATTGGGAGAGAAAAAGAAACGGCATAGTGGTAAATAAATATAGAAGTCAGCTGTGGTGGCATACGCTCCAGAGGCAGAGGCAGGCAGATTCCAGAGAAATGCTGTCTCAGAAAAATAATTAAATAAAAGTAAAAGGAATAGAGTAATAATAGATAAATAAATAATTGTAAATATGGAAAATACACAGAGAGTGTGGATACTGTATGCTATTGTGTTTTTCAGTTTTTTGATTGCTAAGGAAGAAACAACTGCTATGGTACACTTGATTATAAATGCTGCTGAATTAATTCAACCAATATCTTTTGAAAATGCCTTGACTTCCAAATTTAAGTATAAGGATATGTTACTTTGGAAAAGATATTTTATTTCTGTTTCCATAGAAAATGGAAAGCTGTGGATTCCTTCCAGGCTTCTGTGGTTTGATGAACCAAGACCCCCAGAAGCGATGGGCCAGGTGTCCTAACAATTAAGACAGCTGAGATGATGTAGCCTTACAGACTACAAAAAAATGACTTGGCCTAGGTTTCTGAGTTTTGTCATAATCCCCATGGTATGAACAGCACTTCCATCCAGCAGGAAGCAGTTTGGAATGATCAATGTCCAAATTCCCATATTGTTTATAAATCTTAATTTACATTTAAATGGGGTTGCTTAGAATTGGTTAATGATCACAACCAATCTCTTTTTAATGGTAAAAGGGGAATTATGGCATGGAAATGAATACTTAATATGGGTATAATTTTTCATTTATTGATACAAATTCAGTGTTAATTTTGTGATATGTATAGTTCTCCTCTTGTTTAAGTATTGTGTTTATACTGATCTTTTA